GGACGAGCGTCCTCTGCATGCTGGACGAGCGTCCTCACTCTGGACGAGCGTCCTCTGCCGAACGAGCGACCTCTGCTGGACGAGCGTTGGACGAGCGCTGGACGAGCGTCCTCACTCTGGACGAGCGTCCTCTGCCGAACGTCCTCTGCGCGCTGGACGAGCGTCCTCTGCATGCTGGACGAGCGTCCGCTCATTTGCGACGAGCGTCCCTTTTCTTCTAAGTGGCGCCCGGGCGCCCCTTTCTATCTCGCGCCCGGGCGCGAACCTTTCGTTAAATTAGCGTCCATTAGGCCTGGTCCAAGTCTTTTATGATATCCAATCCTTATTTTTCATCAAAATAAACAACAAAAGCATCAAAAACATTTAAACAATCAAAATTATACTTATATCAACAATTATACACTTTTCATGAGAATTAACACTAAAACTTACTCAAAAGCCCCACAATATAAGCAACAAAAACAAGTAAACTTTTCACCTATCAGTGGGCACCACGTGGTGATGTGTGGGGGCAGTCAATGTTCCCTGTAATTTGTCGGGGTGTTACACCTATTCCTAGTTGGATTTCTCCTTCCATGTGGAGGTCTAGGAGTAGGGGCATAAGAACCCATACGGAGCCCATGTAAACTGTGTCAATGGACCATTATTGTCTGATTCATTTTTTATCAAAAAATATTTGAATGACAAATACAATGTTACCTGATTATGTTCTATATGGTCTAGCCTTGATCGGTATCCGATTAAATCATTGTGGGGGACATTTCGAAAGGTCAAAACACGACCTCCGCTCCATCGACATACAAGTGGGAAACTAAATTGCAATCGCGAAATTGGTGCAATATAGGGCATACGAAACCATGCCCACGATTGTAACAACGATGCACAACCACCCATGGTCTTTGAATGTCGATCTGTTGCTCTACACATCTCCCTGTACAACACAGCTAAACAAGCAGACCCCCAACTATATCGTCGAGTTCTGCGAAGATTACTTAAGAAATTCAAGTACATTAAGTGTACTTTATTACCTATTTTATCAAGCATAAGAACCCCTCCAATTAGTCCTAATATATATGCCCTTGCATGGGCATGTATTTCGTCAAGACTTGAGTCGTCATGTACAAGCAACATATTTTCCCGCAACCACTTTAGCTTCACCGTAGATCCAACAAGGGACTCCCCCTTAATCGGTGTAATCCCTAACAACGTATCACACATATCTTCCCAATCAAACATTGTAGATCCAATTATTGGAGGACCATCAACTCTAAGCCCCAATTGTAGTGACACATCTTGCAAGGTAATTGTGCATTCTCCAGTTGGAAGATGAAAAGTATGTGTCTCAGGCCTCCACCTTTCGACCAACGCTGTAACTAACCTGTGATCTACTTTTAAGTGTCTCAATTTAGGTACAACACCAAACCCAACTTCCTCTATAACAGAAGCAACTACAGCATGTGGTTCAAGCATCGAATGGCAGTATGAAGAGATAATGCTGCCCTCTGCATCCTAAAATTAAACAAGAAAAGAAAGTTTAGGAAAAATGTTAATTGGAATTTAAGTTTATGAAAAACAAAAATAACATACCATGGATGCAATATACGAAGCTCTATGTTTTTCTTGCCTCCACAACAACATCTTTGAAGTGTTTTGGTCGTCTAGGATTTAATTAATGGCAATAATATGAATATGTGATGATGTTATGAACAACCACAATTGGAGATATATGTAGACAATTGCTCACTACATGAATTCAATGTCATCCGTTGGATTAAAGTTAGCAAAAAATATGACAATCTCTTACTTCAACAATGATATGAAATTTTGTATATCTCATGGCCAAAGTCTGCATAGGTAATAAATTTGCATATGACCAAAAGCAAGTAAATAATTGACATTGGCATAACTCTTTAACAACACCACATTCACATGTCCATGCTACATTCACATGTACACGTTAGATACAACATCATTTTTGTTTTATTATTAAATAATATAATAATAATACTAAAGAAATGAATAATTTAATAATATTTATAATAAAGTTGAATTGGAAAGATGTGTTGAAAAAGAAGAATGAGTAGTACTTCTCGCGTGCATTGAAATAGTCATATTTCACATGGCAAAAGTGAATGGGTACTATTAAATCAAATTTTGTAGACCCCATTAAATTCACCAAAATCTCCATCTGTAAAAAAATGACATCCAGTCATGCGTAATGCATGAAAATAATTAACTTTTGCACATGGAAACAATAAATGTCAGTTGCTTCATACAAAGTGGTGTAAATGTGGACAAAACATTGAGCGTGACTTCTCAGACCTTCAACATGTGTGAGAACAATAAATGCACCCATTCACCTCTACTTATTTATTTTTAACCCTTACATTAAAGTGACACACAGTGTGCACAATCAACATCTCAACCTATAAATGAAGGAATTTCTGCCTTATTCCATCAATCCAATCAAGTGACTAAAAAATCATTGTAAACAACCATGACATCTACACCATTACCTGTGTTAGTGCACTTCAATGGCACTATCTTCACAGAAGAAAACTATTCTGAAACATACATTAGTTGCCAAACAGCTTGGGTTACCATTGTTGATACGATGAATATTGTTGAAGTGAAGCAAGCAATCCTCAACCACTTCAACATGTCTGCACTAAACCAATATCAAGTTGAATTACAATACAGGTTACCAATCTACATATGTGGTGGCACTGCACATTATCGGTCATGTATAATTTCTGCAGATGACGACTTGGAGGCAATATTTTTTATGGCAACACAAAAGGCTGTGCAAGTTCATGTTGAGATCATGACATTCATTACACCAATTCAACCAAACACAACCTCTAATAAAGTTTATTACGATTTGATGAATAACTTCAATTTCTCAGTAAATCTCGATTGAGGATGAACTATCTTATTTTCGAAAAATGTATTGAAGTAATGCATCTTATTTATCGTTACTCCACTTATCTGATGTTAGTCAACACATTAGTAAATGAATGTATTATTGCAAGTGACATCATCAACTAAGCTACTATGCAACTTTTACCTATAAAACATGCACCTATCAACCATTTACAATAAACACATTGAAACATCTAAATTTACTCTTCATTGTGTTGTTCTTCTCCATTCAAACATCTTCTACCACAACTTAAAATGGCAGCTTCCATCTACGCATGCATATACGATAATGGCGACATTGTTTCTGATCCTGAAAGTGGTGTTTTGTTTACATCGGACACCAAAATCATGATTCACATTCACAGAGGTTTTACGTTGTCTAGATTAATACAGATACTACTACAGAAGTCGAACAGAGATCCAACCCATCCACCTCCAATCCTCCACTTTAGTTTTCCAACTCAAATATTTGGCAGACATATCACCTTCACAACCACTCAGATTCAAGATGACGATGACTTAGAAGGTGCAATCGACATCACAGAGGCCAACCCAATTTTAACATGCATATAACTTTATTCCACCTATACTACAGGTATTTCATCTTCCGTACCGATTTTTGGAACACAGTCTACCCAAGATGAACCATCGTCACCTACCCAACCCATACATCACTCTTTTGACTTTAACAACACATATTTAGGGGAATGGCAAAATGAGATACAATCATACACCGAACTATTAACCGGTCCATCCACTTCACAACTTTTCCAAAATCTCCCACATCATAACACAGAACCCTTATCTCCTCATACTTTACAAGAAAATGAAACATTAGGCTTACCTTCATCGTCATTAGATCCATTTAGTGAGGATGAGGATGAAATCCTAAGCCAACACGATCATGATGAAGAATAACACTTAGATATCCCCTTCATACAACAACAACAACCTTTTACACCTATTCCATACAACCCACCCCAACACTTCCAATCCTATGAAGAATTTTCCTCACATCTACAACAATATCCTCATGCATATGATCACCATTCGGTTTTGCATGAAACTTTCGACCATCAACCTGGAACATTGACTCAGGGAATGAGGTTCCAAACCAAGGAACAAGTCATTGATGCTCTAAACAAATTTCACATACAAAGCCATTGTACATATAAAACGACACATTCTAACACAACAAGGTTGAGGGTGCAATGTGTACATCAACAGTGCCCATGGAATTGTCAAGCCATCCTGCATACACGAGATCAAGTTTGGGAAATAAGAAAAATTGATGGTGCACACACATGTGCCACACAACTCATCACACAAGATTACAATAGGTTGGGATCACGAATCATTTCCCATCACATACGTGAGATGGTGGAATCTGACCCATCCACACCAATTGCAATAATTATTGCTTCCATCAAGACCTCTATGGGCTACACTACATCCTACAAAAAGGCTTGGTTGGCTAAACAACATGCAATTGAACATGTGTATGGGAATTGGGAAGAATCGTTCAACAAATTACCATGCCTACTACAAGCAATGCAAACTTTTCTTCTCGGCTTTGTGTACAAATTGAAAACACAACCAATTACTGATGGCCAAGAGATCCGTCAAAACCAACAATATTTCAAAAGACTTTTTTGGACCTTCAAACCTTGTGTTGATGGATTCCCATATTGCAAACCGTTGGTGCAAGTGGACGGAACATTCCTATATGGAAGATATAGGGGGACTCTTTTGGTGGTTGTGGCTCAAGATGGGAGAAACAACATACTTCTCATTGCTTTTGCTATAGTTGAGGGTGAAACAGCAGACGCTTGGTTGTTTTTACTAAAAAACCTTAGGAGACATGTCACACCTCAACAAAACTTGTGCTTAATTTCGGATCGCCACAACTCCATTAGTGCAACATTCAATAGACCAACCAGTGGGTGGGCAGAAGGACAATGTGTGCATGTGTATTACATTCGACACATTGTACAAAATTTCACCCGAAGATTCAGGGATACAAGTTTGAAGAAGGACCTTGTCAACATGGGTAACTACTTCTTTTTAAAAATCTTTAACCAATTAAATTTCGTCTTTATTATTCTTCGTTATCCGTAATCATTACTATTTTCTTAATTATTTTTGCAGCATATGCAATGACTGAGCCGCGATGTAACTATTACTACAATATCATTAAGGAAAATAATTGGATTGATCAAATTCCAAGAGAACAATTCACACTTGCGTATGATGAAGGCAGAAGATGAGGTCACCTAACGACAAATCTAGCCGAAACAATTAACTCAGTCTTGAAGAAGACAATAAATTTACCAATCTCCTCCATAGTTTTGGCCACATACATAAGATGCAACTCCTTTTTCACAGAAAGAGGGAAACAGATAACTGCAATGATAAGTGTTGGTCATGTCTATTCTGAAAATGCCACGAAGGTCTTACAGGATGTTGTAAATCAAACACCCACAAGGTTGTTGAATTTGATAGAAATACAACAAGATTCAAAGTCGGGGAGATGGTAAACCCAAGAGAAATACGACCTGCAGGAAAATTTGTTGTCAGATTGGATGAACGATGGTGTGATTGTGGGAAGTTTCAAAAGATTCATCTACCGTGTTCACATGTCTTAGCAGCTTGCAAACATGCTTATCACGACTTTAACATTTACATTAGTCCCTACTACAGGTTGGATGTCATAATGAAAGTGTATAATAATATGTTTGGGGAGCTACGACATGAAGAATATTGGCCACCATACCAAGGCACAGAAATTTGGCCTCATCCAACCACAAAAAGGAATGCAAAGGGTCGACCAAAATCATCCAGAATCAGGACTGAAATGGACATCAGGGAACGAGCACACCCACGAAATTGCTCATACTGTCAAACCCCTGGCCACACAAGAAATCATTGTCCTCACAATCCTGGCATTAGAGGGTCCACATCCCATTATGAAAAATGATTAGTTAATTACTAGTTTTAATGTTCAATGTAGTCATAATGTCAACCGTATTTCAGACTTTGTTATGCAAGACAATTATGTTAAAATTAAAGAAAATATTCCATTTATTGATGTCAATAACTTCGTCCTCTATAACAGTTAATTATCGTGTCTTCTATCAATAAATTGAAAAATTGACCCAAAACATACCATCAACCACCATAGGTACAATTAATTCCTTAAAGCTATGTTTTTATATATTTTTGTCAGCTCTGACCTTTGCTTGTTGTTTTGCTCTTAACTTTCTCCCCAAACCTCAGTTTTGAAGCTTTACTCACACTTAAACACTAAAAATAAGTCTTATCTCTTGAAAAAATATGAAAAAATTTCTTTAGCTACTTATGTGCCTACAACTGGCTCTTGCAGCACAAGTTTTCGTTCAAAACCAGAATTTTTTTCGTGTAATCGTTTACAAGGTCCTTGTAATCGATTACACGAAAAAAATTATGGTTTTGTACAAAAACTTATGCTGTAGAAGCCAGTTGTGGCCTCACAAGTAGCCAAATAAATTTTGTAATCTTTTCATATTTCTTCAACGGATGAGACTTCTTTTTAGTGTTTAAGTATGAGTAGACCTTGAAAATAGAGGTTTGGGCAGTCCATGGTGGAGGAAAGACCCAATGTTGGTGTGATAACCAAGTTAGGTGATGTTCTAAAACAAGTGTAGTCCATTTTGTCCCTTGTAATCGATTACAAGGACCCAATAAAAAATTACATGAAAAAAAACTTGAATTTATACAAAAACTTGTATTGTAGTAACCAGATGTGGGAATGTAACTCACCAATTGCAATTTGACTGAGATAACATGTTGTCAACTCTGACCTTTGTTGGCTATTTTAATAATAACTTTTTTCACCGACCTTCAGATGATGCGATTCTTTTTTTATTAGAAAGTAGACTCAACAAGCTTTCCAATGACTACTAATTTGTAATTTTTGGACATCTGAGTAGCTGCAGTTAATTTGTTAAAGTTAACGCTTTATATATTCCTGTCAACTATGACCTTTGGTGGTTGTTTTGCTCATAACTTTCTCCACTGAACTCCAAATGAGTTGATTCTTGTTTTGTTGGAATCTAGACTCAAAGAGCTTTCAATTTATGCCTTGGTAATCAAGTTTAGGCCTTTTTGGTCATTGTAATCGATTACAAGGACCCTATAAACGATTACACGAACAAAAATCTAGTTTTGTACAAAAACTTGTGCTGTAGGAGCCAATTATGGGCACATAGGTAGCCATATGAATTTTACTTAATTTTTTCATATTTCTTTGATGGATGAGAGTTCTTTTTAATGTTTAAGTGTGAGTAGAGACTGAAAAATTTGTTTTGGGGAGTCCTTGGTTGAGGAAATACCAATTGTTGGTGACATGACCAAAATAACATGTTGTCAACCTTGAGCTTTGCTGGCTATTTTAATGATAACTTTTTCACCGACCTCCAAATGATGTGATTCTTTTTTTATTAGGAAGTAGACTCAACAAGTTTTCCAATTACTACTAATTTGTAATTTTTGGACATCTGAGTAGTTGTAGTTAATTGGTTAAAGTTAACGCTTTATATATTCCTGCCAACTATGACCTTTGGTGGTCGTTTTGCTCATAACTTTCTCCACCGAACTCCAAATGATGTGATTATCTTTTTATTAGAAAGTGGACTCAACAAGCATTACAATGACTCTTAATTTGTAATTTTTGGACATCTGAGTAGGTGCAGTTAATTTGTTAAAGTTAACGCTTTATATATTCTTGCTAACTCTGACCTTTGATGGTTGTTTTGTTCTTAACTTTCTCCACCAAACTCTAAATTAGTTGATTCTTGTTTTATTGGAATCTAGACTCAAAGACCTTTCAAATGACTATCAACCCATCAATTTTAGACCACTGTAGAAGATGCAGTTAATTTCCCAAAAAATATGTTTTGCTAAGCTTTCTAAATGAGTTTACTTTGAAGTTATTGTTTCATGTTTCTTATTTTAGATGGGTGAGTGAGTTTAATGGTCAAGGATGCTATTTAATACACTAATAAAAACATTAAACCATTGAATTATTGAGAAAAAAAGATCATTTAAGTATTTTTCTATACATAAATACTTAAAAAAATAAAAGTTTTTAAAAAAATATTCAAACTTAAAATTATGACCTAAGATTAAAAAAAAATTAACTTAGAATTCGATTTTCCTGAAACTCGAATTCTAACCTAGCATCATAAAGAAAAAAAGAAAAAGTATATAAGTTAGAATTCGGTTTCTCAGAAACCGCGAATTCTTATCTAACAAAAAAAGTATACTATTGGTAAATAAAACGCACAGTATGTATCTTGGTAAATGTAAAAGGAATATGTGTTATGTCAGAAAAAAAATCATAAGAAAAAAAGTGTATAACTTTGCTTTTGAAGAAAAGATTGAGATGAACGAAAGGAAACTAATTATATGAATGTGTAGTGGAAATTTTCCTGCACGTTACATGTACAAATCCCACCAATGTGTAGTTGAAAAATAAATCACAAAATCAATATTATTTAATTTTGTAACTATAATCTAAAACAACTATGAAAGTCTAAGAAGAAATATGTAAAAAAAGCATAAACATTTAAAATATAATATTTAATTTTAATTTTATATATATATATATATATATATATATATATATAAATACATATACATACAAAAATATAGACATACAAATAAATACACACAAATAAGGTTTAGGGTATAATTTTCTTCGACTCAGTAACTCATATTTATCTATAAAATCATCCTAAACATATATTTCGAAATAATAATTCATTCCCATATATAATTATATGAAATTTGCATATAACATACATATGAAAATCCAAAAACTTAGCAAAAATTATAATAATTTAGACATTAAAGGATATATTTGTTTAGCCAAAAACAATACTAAATATCCGTTTATTAATAAGAAACCTATTAAAATCGGTATCAAATAATAAAACCAACATTTAATGTAGATTGAATGTCATGAACGAGTTAGGAATCACAATTTTTAAAAAATATAATATAATATAATAACTATAAATATATGCATGTGATTTAAATAACTACACATTTAAATGTTTCAAATTTGAGATATTAATTTTTTTTTATCTTCAGTGAAACATATTTATTTATTCAAAAACTTGCTAATTATGAAAAGGGAAAAGAAATTAGTAGTATACAAGTAAAAAAATTAACTAAATAATATTAAGGTAAGAATGCATTTATGATATTTTCTAATAAAACTCTTGTCCTTTACACCTCTTTAGAAATTTATATATATTTAATTTCAATTAAAATAAAAGGTTATTTGATTTGACCCACTGTTAAACCAATCATTGTTACATACCTGTCATAAAGAATTTTTAATTTTGGATTATTTGAGTTATATTGGACCACAAAGTAAATGGTAATTAATTCAACTTTTTGAAAAAGAATTGTACCTATCATCACGTGCATGTGTTTGTGTACATACATTTTAATACACAATAAATAGCCATAGATATTTCCTATTTCCTTTGCACATCAAAAGGTTCATCAAATTAAACTGAAAATAAACATTATAACTTATAATGGCCATAGGTTTACTTTTGCATGATCTTATCTAAAATGAATTACTACCAGGAATTCAATTCATACATAGGAATTCTATTAATACAACAAAATTTACTGTGTAATTAATGAAATTTATTCATACCACCGATGGCTGTCAGTGTAATTAATTATAGTTATAGTTACTACCAGGAATTCAATTCATACATATTTGAATTATAGTTATAATTTCATATCTTTAATTAAATTACGTATTATAAATTACATTTTAAAATTATATAATTCCGAATATATTTTTAAGTTTAACTACATTTATAAATATATTCTAAAGTACGCAATATAAAATTAGGAATTTTGAACTGTGCCATCGAGAATACATGTAAATGTATTTTATGATCTAAATATTCATTCCAAATTACGAAGTAAAAAATTACCAAAAAAAAAAGTATTCCAGATTTAATAATTATATGTATTACAGTTCAACAACTTATCCGATAATTAATAATTAATGGGTTTTAGTATAACTATACCATTAATTCGAACCACTGGAAGAATCATTTCACGCTTGGAAAAAATCTTCTTTGCAAATACATTTGTGATGTTTGTATTACTTGAATTTATCATAACTTTTTTTTTTTTGGAGAATATTTATATTGGTTGGATATAAGTTTGATTAATATTTTTTTATAAATTGAGTATG